ATTGCACACATGGTGTTACTGCAAACTCTCCCTAGTTTACTCTACTATCATGCAAATTTTCAAATCTTACTGATATTGAGGTTCTCATGACGAAGCCATCAGCAGACTTTTCTAAACCAGTTCATTGCCAGGTGGAGGTAAAGGGCATACCAATAACCCTTATGGTTGATACAGCCTCAGGTAGCCATTCATACAATAGAAACTTTTCAGAAACATTTTCTGACTGACGCTTTGCAAACTCCAACCAAACACCAGACAATGTCGTCATTTACCAAATGCATGATAAACATTATTGGATGTTTTGAATGTACCATTACATATGCCAAATACTCCACTGAAATTAAAATGGTACTGACTATAATTGGTAGAGATCTGATATAAGCTCTTAACATTAATATCGATGCTAGCACATTATCATGTAATATACAAATACAGCATGGTTTGAGGGGAAGTAGTGGGAATTACTGGTCCCGAGGTGTAGGTCAGCTTTCGCGTCGGGAGATAGTCAAGCTGACCTACACCGAGGGACCAGTAATTCCAACTATTTTCCATAAATAAACACTGCTGTATTTGTTTTACTACACCTCATAAATATTTAGCAGCCTCACTGTCTTTTTAGTAGCCTCAATGCCTTGTCCATAACGATCTTCATTTACTCAGCACAATTCAAGTTCTTCATCACAAGTACATGAAATAGTCTGGTGCACTGCCAACACTCTTTAATGTGTCTTTACTTCAGTAGTAAAAGATTACAACAACAGACTGGTTCCGGAAAGATTACAAGTTAGACTACATGTCTACGCGGCGGGTTCCAGAGGGAATTTTTGGTGCTACCAGAAAAACTACCGCACGGCAGCAAGCTGGATACTCACCGGGATGACGTCACCTGGGTGCGTATCATTTTTACTTCCCAGAAGCGCGGCGGAATCAGCCAATGACACGCTCCAATAGGATCATGAATATTTATGAGGTGTAGTAATGAGTTTTACAACACTGATGATACAGTGAAAGGAAAGTTGTACGCTCAAGTGTTCACTACCACTGAGCAACTACCAAGTGTGAAAGGTAAATCTAAAAATTAATGTGGCCTGACGTTGCGAACTTAGCAAGTTCTTCTTCAGAGGCTAAAACAGAAATGACAGAGGTACATACATTAACATGGGGGTGCACACAAACATGCAGGGCTGAAAGAAGAAACACAAAAGGAGGATTAGGGGTGAAAGGTGTGGAAAGATGCAGGGGAGGGTGGATGAGAGAACAAAGAAACAAAGGGAGATGGCAAACCACAAGGGGTCTGGTATAAACAGGGGAGGGACCAGAAAGGGGAAGGATCAAAGGTCACAGGGAGTGGGAACGGACAAAGGAGTGTGAGAGTAAAGGGGGATGATGCGGGGGGGGGGGGGGGGGACAGTATGGAGGTGGAAAGGGATGAAAGATGGGGGAAGATGGGTAAACGCAAACAAGGAAGACCAGATGGATTATCTGTAACCGAAGACAATGGAGGAAGAAAAGGATTAATCATTTCCAAGTTGGATGTTGAGACCATGTGGTTGAATAGTTTGAAGACGATTCATCCACACTTTCTCTCTGCTGAGGCGAACTGAGTCCTTGCGATGGCGAAGAGATTCAATGCCCTGCAAAATCATATCAGAAATGGAGGGGTAAAGGCAGGTTGAAGTGATGACTAACAGGGGTGTCTAGTTTCTTGGTGTTGACCGTTGACCGGTGGGCATAGAAACGCTTCTTGAGCGTATTCTTAGTCTCACCTACATACTGCACTCCACAGACCCTGCAAGAAATGAGATATATGACATTAGAGGTGTTACAAGTGATGTTACCAATGGTTCTGTGGGTAGTGACAGAAGAGTGGCCAGAAAAGGAGTCAGACTCCTGGATATGAATCTGGCAGACAACACATCTGAAACTGCACTTGAAAGTAACATGCTGGGTGGGAGGTGATGCATCTAAGGATGGGACTTCAGCTCGAACAATCAAGTCCCGTAGATTTCGAGGACGCCTGTAAGCCAATGTGGGACCGTTGGGGATGGCGCGGGCAAGGCGATCTGAAGTATGGAGGATATGATGATTGTCATTAGTGATTTTGCGAAGGGGAGGGAGATTGGGGTGAAACGTGGTAACCAAGGGAATCATGGGTTTGGCCATGGCATCAGGGGCCTTTCCCGTGAGAGCTAGATTTCTGGGGATAGCTTTAGCTCTGGCAATGGCACGATGAACTTGGCGAGAGCTGTGACCCCTGGCCACCAAGTTGTTCCTCAGTATCTGTGTATGGCGGGAGAAATCGGAATCATTAGAACAAATTCTTCTGAGTCTGAGTGCCTGGCTAAATGCTATGCCAGTTTTGCAGTGCCTGGGGTGACAGCTGGGGGAGTGGAGGTACTGGTGGGTGTCTGTGGGTTTGGAATACAGGTCAGTGGTTAGTGAGTTGCCTTGCTTACAGACGGTGACGTCCAGAAAGTGGGTTTGGTGAGCCGAGAACTCCGATGTGAATTTGATGGTTCTGTGGAAGGAATTGATGTGGTTAGTGAAGGTCAAGAGACTGTCCTCATCACTGGTCCAGATGAAAAAAACATCATCAATATATCTCCACCAGATCCAAGGGCGACATGGGGCCGAGGCAAGAATGCGTTCTTCGAGGTCACCCATGAAGAGGCAAGCCATGGAGGGAGCCATGCGAGTGCCCATTGCAGTGCCGTGTACCTGTAGATAGTGTTCACCAAGGAAGGAAAAATTGTTCTTCGCTAGTATAAGTCTCATGAGGGTGCCAACATCACTGATGGGAGGAGTCGTGTGTCCTGCCTTGGCCAGAGCCAAGGAGCAAGCACGAACACCCTCCTCATGTGGGATGTTGGTGTACAGAGATGAGACGTCGAAAGTCCCAATGATGGCTGTGCTGGGAATCTGGTCCGTGTGAAAGGTATCATTCACAAAGTAAAGGTTGATAGAAAAGTAAGCCCTGTTAATCAAAAGTTGAAACTAGAGAGAAAGTTATAAGATTTTAAGCTTTGCATGGGGGAGTATCAGTATCGTTTCGGTTTGCGGTAAAACCATGTGGTAATAACAACTGCTCAGTGATATGTAGTTCTGAAAAGAACTTGTCCTGCTTATTATCAACTTTCACTAAGTAGTTTTAGTTCTGATAAGAACAGTCCTGGTTTAAGTTCTAAAAGAACTTGTCTTTGGTCTCAACGTTTCGACTAGCCTGCTCTTGTCATCATCAGGAAACTGAGGAGAGAAAGATACAGCAAAAGTACTTGAGCTTGACAAACAAGGTGTACTAGAACGACCACATGCCACAGAATAGGTATCGCCCATTATAGTAGCCTGAAAAAAAAGCTGCCGATGTCAGAATTTGCATAGATTTGAGAAGAGGCAATAAGGCAATAATTCCTGACCAATTTTCCTTGCCCAAAATTGATAAAATTCTGTCAGTATTACAAAATGCATTGGTGTTTTCACAATTGCATGTGAAGAATCCAGACCACTCACTGCATTCAATACGCACAAGGGCCTTTTTCAGTACAGGTATATATGTGTTTTTGCTTATCCTCTGCCTTATCGCCATTCAAGGAAATGATTAATATTGTTCTGAATTGATCAGAACGAGTACAGTGCTATTAGATGATGTCATTATTTACGGTCACACGCAAGCTAAACATGACAAAAATCTGAGTATGCGGAGACTGCAGAACATTGCATGAAATTGAATCAAGAGGAAGCCCAAAATTCCTAGGGTACACAGCAGCGCAAAGGGTATCTGACCAGATGATAAATTCCAATCCTTTTTAAGGCACCAATCCTGCATGATTAAAAGATGCTAATTAGGTCATTTTTGCCTCGCAGGATATTTTGCCAAGCACATATGCCTTAGTTTGTTACAACTGTTGAGCAATTATGAGATTTTAAGGCCGTTCAACATTTTCAAAGTTTTCAAATTTCGAAAATGTGGGTGGGTTGGTCAAGTTAAATTATTGAAAATCAAAAATCGAAAATCACTTTTTTCTTAATTTAAAAGATTGACAAACAAACCCAAAAGCTCTTTTGACTTGCCAATTCAACTCCCTGCATTCCGATTCATTTGCTTTTAACCCTTTGCCTGTTATACGGGGGTACATGCATCTGGTAGTACCCTATGTACCGTACATGCACAATGTTCTGTGTATTGTATACGTCTATCGAAGCACCATTTGCATGGGGACCAGTTAAGTATAGACTTAAAGCACACGTAAAGTCAGTGGGCTGTGCAAATGAAGCGGAATACCAGGTTCATTTGTCTTAATACACGCCTCGAGCGTCGGTTACCAATCGCGACAACGAAATAAAGTAAGACTACTTGGGCAACCTGCATGGTTAGTGTGCATTACGTGTGTATTACCTGCGGTTTCAATAAACGAGGCAGCACCCACGCCTGGAAAGCTCAATTTGAGAGTTCAATCTTTATTTTTCCATCCAAAACGAATGAAATTTCTAAATAAACTCCATGAATAATGGGATTCATTACACCTCTTTACGCCAAGACAATAGTTAATTTTTGTTTAGAGCGAGCTGATACTTATTACCACCATGGAGCTCCTTTTTATAGCTCTATGTTATCACTAGTTTTACATGTTTCCAGGTGGATTCCCTACATACGGGAATGCCAGTGGGCTGTGCTGTTGGTAAGGTATCGTATACGGGCTGCAGCTGAATTCCACCGTCACTGAACCGGACATTTGTTAAGTTTTTTTTATTGAATGGAAAATCAAAATTTTAAGATGTTAAGTAAACAAACCAATTTAAAGTGCTAAGAAGCTTAGTTCTCGTTTAAACAAATTTGTGAAACAATGGGGTTTAAATTTAGAAATTATTCCATGAATATATGTTATGTCTTGTGTGCAGTTGTACAAGTGGGTCCATGATAACACTATTTCAGTAACTAATTCTGGTGAATATGATACCAAAAAATACCACAATGTCTAAAATGCCAGGGATAACCTACTTACCATCCAATGGTGTTCATGGACATTGCAGAACAGACTCCCTTGGGGTAAAATAATGGTCCTGCTATTCTTGCCCCTCTCTGTTTGAGCACTCTCTGATTTCCCCTCTGTTCCTGCCATTCCATCACAAGTATGGGTATTTTCCTCAGAATTATGACCAGAGTCTCTAAGTGGAGTTGGTTGTGAAGGGACTGTGGTTCTTAGCACAAGTCCAGGTGTGGGGGCCCCTTGCAGTGATATGGGTACCTGGGTAATGACTGGTTGACTGGTAGGGGATACCACTCCCGATTGGACTGTTGGGGTTTCTTGAACAATACCTCGAGTTCCTGACAAGAGGGATAACATGTAAAAACAAAAGCAATGATGACAAAAATTAGCTTATTATCCTTTAAATAAAAACAAAAATACAAACTATACAATATGGTAGATCTTCACAAAAATTGAAAGGGGAGATTTCTGCAAATACTTGTCAAGTTTACAATAAATTATCTAATTAATACATGCTAGCTATATCGCAGACTGCAAGTCATCACATGCTGCAAGGGTGAGGCCAGCTATTGTACATATACGGCAGTGTGTGGAATGTCTCAAATGTACATGACCTTCATCTTGGAAACCAATGGTTTACAACAATAGGGTCTCTATTGTGTGTGCATACAGACACACAGTCATTTTTTGCTATGCTTTCGAGGATCGGCTTTGTGTTTTCCTTTGTTCCCTTATCTAAACCTTTCCCATAGACCACGCAAACCAGCATTTGAGGACAAAGGGACCTTCAATCGAGACCACAAAAGAACCTTTGTGCTCCCTTTGAGTGTAATCCTCGGTCGTAAAGCCATAAAGAACACACACACACACGCTAACATGTTTGTTTAGGGTGTAAACCAAGGATTTTCTTTGGTTCCTCTTCCCTTTTCCTTTGTTTGTACTTCTAACTTTTTCGCCACAGCTCTCATTGGTTTTGTACGCGTTTTCTAATCGAGGTCATCCTCGATTTGGTCCCTGTCCTCGATTCACCGATGATGTTGCTATGTGTGTCCTTGATTTACACCATGGTGTAAATCGAGGATTTTCTTTTGTTCCTCTACCCTATTCCTTTGTTTGTATACTTCTAACTTTTTTGCAACAGCGCTTATTGGTTTTGTACACATTTTCCAACCGAGGAGTCCTCCACTCAGTTTCTGACCTCGATTCACATGTGTGTCCTCGATTTACACCATAAACAAACGCACCCAAGTGTGTATTTGCCTGCAATCAGGGACCCTTATTGTCCCTCTTTTAATTGTACTCTAACTTTTTAGGAAGACCTCCCATATGTTTTGTACAAGATTGTAAATTGGGGACCGTCAGGAAATTGGGGACCCTATTATGCTCTAGTGTTCAACATCCACTATTGAATGCAGAAACAAACTCAGCAACCCTTAAGTGAACAGGGATGGTTAAATGAAATGAACCTCCAGTTGCTGCTCTGCAGTCACTGCTCCCTCTCTCCACGCCCCAGAATGTCCCAAGAAATAGTTGACTACCTTTGCCACATTTATTTCCTCAAACTGAAAAAGCTGCTGGTATTTTGATTGTAGGCACTCCCTCCTCCATGATATACCTTTTCCTGCCAATTTTCATCTATTCCACATCCCTGTCTATGGACATACCATTTTTCAACCCAATCGGATGTGTACTTTGGAAGATATAGCAACTGGAAAAATGCACCTTTTGTATGACGTGATGTGACACAATTGTAGCGAACCATCTTCGGATGGTGGTCTAAATGTCTGCCAAGCCTTAAGTCAATCAGACATGGGAAAGTGCCAGAGGGTATGGTTGGGAAAAAAAAAAACATGTTCAAACCCTATAGATAGAGAACAAATTAAAAATAATAACCTTTGTGTTGAAATTCCATTAAAAGTGTTAAATTTTGTAAGCAGAATAAAATCGTGGGTGTGTTTTATTTTCTCTGTACACCAGTGATTATATCTTAGGGAGCGACTTTTGTGCTCTGAACAAATATGCAGATGATACTGCTTTGTCTGGGACGATTTTTAATGAACGAAACAGCCTACAGGAATGAAGTTCTGAAACTACTTCAATGGTGTGAACATAATTCCTTAGTTCTTAATGTGAAGAAAACAAAAGAAATTGTATTTGATTTTTGCAGGGACAGAAATCAGATTGAGCCAATTGTAATTAATGACGAAACTGTGGATATTGTGACTGAATACAAATACTTAGGTACATGTATTGACAATCGGTTGAACTGGAATTCTAACACGGCGAACATATTCAAAAAGGCCAATCAAAGAATGTATTTCCTTTATAGGAAACTCTAATTTTTGAGGATAGATGAAACAATTTTAAAGTTATTTTATCAAAGTACTATCCAATCCGTCATTACTTTCTGTTGTGTTGTTTGGTTTAACTTACTTCATGTGAGTGACCGCAAAAAGATGAGCGTGTAACAAAGAATGCTGCTAAGATCATTGGCTGCGAATTGAATGATGTGTGGGATATTCTGGAGGGCACAATGCGTGCAAAGTTTGAACAGATCAAAGGTGACATAACCCATCCACTCAATTCATCTATTGTTGTTAATCATTCTGGGAGGGTCCGCCAAATTGCCACTAAAACCAATCGTTTCAAGAATTCTTTTCTGCCTTGTGCAGTCAGTACATTCAATTCCAGCTTTTGCCGATAGTTTACATTATGTTATGGATTCCTGGTGTTTTTATATGGGTTTTTACATACATGTATCTTACAATGGGATCGAATTTATTTGTATATTGTATGTATGTGGATGCTGTGTTATACAGTTGGGTTTTTTTGGTTGTCCGTTAATATGTCTTTTAAAATTTTAGTGTTTAATAACTTGTACATCAGGAAAACAATTTTCATGTATTTTTCTTTTTAATGCGTGACGAATAAATAATCTTTATCTTGATCTTAATCTTAATATTTAAAAAAATCGTAAAAAAATCTACGACTTCATTTCTAATTTTGTTTATTAGTACTACAGTGGAACGCCGCTATACCGAACACCACTATACCGAACATTCGGCTATACCAACATCATCCTTGGCTCCCAGGTTTTTGTGTACAAAACGTACCGAACATTGTTGTTAAAAAAATTCAACAGATTTACAAAAAAACTACTAGTTACAAAATCTATATTAAACGCTGTTTGGGCCATTTGTTTTTATTCCCAAACATCAAACAACACATAAACATAGTGTTTGAATGTTGAAGAGTTATAGATGTCTTGTATTTCCCCAGAAAGATAGAAGGGAAAAGTTGATCATGACGATTGGACATTCCCTTATATGTGTTTTTAAAAATGGCATTTTTGATGTCGTCATTGTGACGTCACACATTTTTCAAAATGTTGTGGATATACCTATTGCCTAACAAACCTAATACAAAAAGAATTTTGATTTTTAGCATATTGCGTTCGTGAGATAATGGCAAATGTCTCCAAAACTTCAAAAATATATTTTAAACCACATGGTGATGTCATGATGACGTCACCTCAATTTTTATCTAAAACACACATACCAAGTGTCAACCCAATCAGACTTCCCGTTCATGAGATATAGGGGCTGAAAGTATGCACGTTTACAATGACGGCATATGTCCCATGATGACGTCACATGTCCCATGATGACGTCACATGTCCCATGATGATGTCACCACTGCATCTATCTTCCCGAACGACCTTTGCTATGTGCTTCATAACCATGTTAAGTTTCATTGTCATACGACTTTGTTTTATGCCCGAATTGTTCACGAGGAAAAAAATGTGTACAAAGTCTATGGCATTTGGGGTAGAAAAAGATGAAATAGTAAAAAAAAAATTTAAAAAAAAGAAGTAAAGAAACAAAGGCTTTTCCGCAAGGTTTTGCCGAAAAGCCAAAAATGCACATTTAATGTGACATCACACGACTTGTGATGATGCCATCATCATGGGCCTTATTCACAAGTTTGCCATTTTTGTTGAAATCCCTGAACATATATCACTAATTCTTAACTGTTGAATGAGATGGCGCCAGACTATTTTTGCAGGCATAATGCAGCCTTTTTTTACAGTCATTTTTTGTAATCAGGCTTTAAACATTAGGGAACGTTTAATTACAAATTTTAAATTATTCATTTAAGCAGACTGGAATTAATTAGTAATTAACTTGCTTTCAAATTAGGTTTTGCCCTTCACCAACGTTTAAACACTGTATACTCAGTGTGTTACCTCCCGAGTGAAAGCTGGAAAAAATCACTCGGGTGGGACTCGAACCCACGACCTCCTGCTTTCTAGTGCAGATGTCTTACCACTCGACCACTGAGCTAACAGGATCGGTTGGCTGATTCGAATCTGATGTACATAGCAGTGGGTACCGCATAAACTATTATAAGATGGAGTTTTGCTTTCATTTTTCTACACGAGTTCCAAAAATGAAGAGTTTACCTCACTCTCAATCCAATATGGCCAATTCGTGAATAAGGCCCATGACATCACTTAAATTTCCATCTATAACACATCAATGTCTATGTACAGACAAAGTTTCAAAGTAAAATGATTCACAATGTTATTTTTTTCATGACTAGTTGTCAATTTGTCACAACTAGTCATTCAATTATGCAAACGTGTATTTTCTTTTCTATTACATATCGTGATTCTTTTTTTCAAGCTTTTTGTTTTCAAAACAAATATCACCAAATCCCAACACAGGTTACGGTTAGTTGTGAAAAAAATATCACAATAACTCAAAATATTTCAAAATTAGTTTGAGAAATTCAAGATGTCCAAAAAATTTACTCAAGTATTTTACAACTTCACTGCCACCAGATGTTGGTGAGATAAATATAATGAAAAACTAGAGGTAAACGCAGAGTGGTCGGGCAGGCAATCTGTTCATCAACACTACCGAGTTGAGTTATGAATAAATTTATGTAAGAACAAAGGATCACGAAATTAAATCCTTTCCAGTACAATCAATTATTTGGTTTAAAACAATGTATCTTTAACGGTGTGATATATTTTAGTCAACATTCTATGTAGGCCTACACATACAAGTTATTTTTGGCTTCATGACGCCATTATTCAAAAACGGGAAGTGAATACTGATTAAGTTCGGAGTGGATAAATGTTCGTTGTGAAGTGAAATAACGTACGAAAATAAGGGAAATACTAGAGTTTCGCGTTTGTTGAGTAACAAACGCAGAGTGGTCGGGCGGACAGCCTTTTCATTATACACTGCCCAGTTAAGTTAGGAATATACGTTTATGTAAAAAAAAAGGATCACGAAATTAAATCCCTTCAAGTACAATCAATGTTTCAAAA